GCTGGGAGGGGAGGCCGGGGGCCGCACCGGGCCCGAAGCCGAGACCTGGCCGGGATGCCGTGCTGAGGCCCAGCATGGCCGGCCCGGGCCCCACCTTCCCGCTGCACCGGCTGGTCTGGGCGAACCGACACCGCGAACTGGAGGCCGCGCTGCACAGCCGCCAGGTGAGGCCCCGCCGAGGCACGCGGCCCGTCCCCGGGGGCCCCACCCGAGGCTAGGGTCCCCCTCCGGGAGGGCGCCCGCCCCTGCTCAGAGCCGTAGCTGCATCCCGCCCCCCTTCCGCAGCCCGATCCGCAGCCCAGGTCACTGCCCCTTGCGCTGGAGCCTCTGGCCTCCTCTCGCAGCGCCGGGCCTCGCCCGCTCCTCTGCCCACCTTACACTGCACCAAGCCCCCAACTCGCTCCTGCATCACCCGTGACCCAGGCTGAGAACAGGAGCCCTGGTCCTCCCCAGGCCCATCCAAACTCTTGACACCCTGCACCTGCATCTCGGTCTGCCCAGGCCCCCAACTCTGCCCCTGCCCTTCCCGTCTGCCCCCTCCCCTCCCCTGCCAGGATATGCAGCCCTCTCCCTGGCCTGTCTGCCCTCCTTATCTCCCACAGTGACTCCCAGCCAGCCCTGTTCTGCCCCATGGCCTCCTTGCCTTGGCCTCTTCCCTCTTTGCCCTTTGCTGAGTGTCGCATCTTCCTCAGCATGACATCGAACAGGAGGACCCCCGGGGGCGGACCCCCCTGGAGCTGGCCGTGTCCCTGGGAAACTTGGAGTCTGTGCGAGTCCTTCTTCGACACAATGCCAACGTGGGCAAAGAGAGTCGCCAGGGCTGGGCAGGTAATGCAGAGGGCCGAGGGCCTCCCCCTGAGGCTGTCCGTCGGATGGATGAGGGGGAGTGAGCAGCCAGGCCTGGGACCATCAGGAGGGCTCCCCTCAGCAGCCTGGTGCCCCTTAGTCCTGCAGGAGGCAGTCAGCACTGGAGACCCAGAGATGGTGCAGCTGGTGCTCCAGTATCGAGACTACCAGAGGGCCACACAGAGGCTGGCTGGCATTCCGGAACTGCTCAACAAACTTCGCCAGGTACAGTAGGCCACAGAGGTGTGGTCAGTTGAGGGGGTGGGGTGTCATGGCAGGGGACCGCCCAGATCACCCATGCCAGGCCTGGCCTTAGAGGGCGCCCGGTCTGTGCAGTGTGCTTTC